CCTTTCCTCTGAGCCTCGAACATCTTGCAGAGTCTCTCGTCACTCCTCCCTGCATCGATCTCACCAGACTGTAGTGATCCATCTGCTCCTCCGAACTGTACACGCTCTCCCACAAGGCACTAACCACGTTTGTCTTATCATGCATCAGTATTCCACGCTTTGCAGAGCCAGCCAGTCTGTCCGCCTGTTCATTTCCCAACACACCTGCTTGCCTTGGTGAAAAAAACAGTCAATACCCCTCACCCGTGTCCTCCTAAGCGAGGTATACCACTCTGCACGAAGCATGCCTGTCCTGATCTTCCTCAGCATGCTTTCTGAGTCAGTTACAATCACGATGTGTGTGTCGTGTTCTCTAGCCAGCGGAAAGCTGCAGTGACCGCCTCCACCTCCATTCTTAAGCTGAAAGTTGCAGTATCATATAGCTAGGCTCTCCTGCACCAAACATCGACCATTAACTTTTGCCAAGAAGCCCTAAGCAGTTCTATTGCCTCTTGACACTGAACCGTCTGTGTAAATGATCAAATCTTCTGAGCGAGCATTATCTTGAAATAATTGCTGAATTTCCACCTCTGTGGCACCTGCTGGCCAATCTCTGCATTCCCGGTTCAGTGTAATTACGACCCTACACAAGTCTGACTGTTCAGGTGGCACTTTGACCCACTCCTCTCCTCGCCTAATGTTCTCAAGGATGCAAACCTATCCTGATTGTGTCTTCTGCCTGAGCCATCTATGACCAAAGTCTAGAAGTGGACAAACTACCATAATTTTCCACTAGAGTTTACAGCAGGTGAACGCGACATTGAAGAACTATGAGTTCTACAATTAAGCTTCTAGAAATAAAAGAACTATAACTTAAACAATGTTTATAATGATTTAGCTTAATCTCTAAACGGATACCAAAGGATGCCAAATGTTTAAAATTAAAACTGCAAAGAACAATTTTTACATCATGATGCCAATGGACGTGTAGTGATAGATCAGGGAAACTATTTAGGTGATGTTAACATAATACCAGCTGCCTTTAATTCCTATTGCATTTCTATCGAACGTATTACTGATCTTTAATCCAGTCATCATCATCCGATTCGATTGCTCCACTCTGCTCTATCGCATGCAACTCTTTTGATTTCTGACATGGAGTTCAGCCCAGCATTTTTAGCCTCTTGTAATAAAGTTCTTCAAATGATTCCCTTGGACGCCCTCTTTTTCTCATACCATTTGATTCCCATTTAAGTGCTTGTTTTATAAATCTTTGCTTTTTTCGTCTGAGAGTATGCCGATTAAACCTCCACTTTCTCTGTTTTAGTGCAGTAGATACAGGTATTTCTATAGTCATTGATCTCCTCACTGTGTTTGAATTCATCTTATTGTATGTTCTTGATTTTTGTTAGACATTTCTTTATACAATACATTCAACTTTCTTGAAGCTAGTGATCACTTTACAATCCCGCTGGTTCAACATCAACGCTAAGAGCACCAACATAGAAGTCCGCACACACAGACATGTTTATCTGGGTGGTACAGAGACTACTATTACAGTGGCAAGGGGAATTAGTCGGTGCAGTCCTGTACTCCACGTCGGTGCCAAAAATACCAGGGGTTGATCTTCTTTTGCGTTCATTCGAAGATGTAATTTTATTGCGCCTTACAATAGCATGGCTGTGATATTTGCGCCTCTCGGCTGACACATTCGACATTTCTAGGCTTTTGTTGACCAGGTTATCCCTTCTGGCTAGGGGTAGGCGATACACATGATATAAGGTAATGTATGTGCCCCTGACATATCTCTATTGATATTTTTCACTTTTCACCTCCAATTTTCAGCGTTAACGAATGCAAGTAAATGATTCAATATTGGACACACCATGAGTGAAAACACAGGACACGAAATCACTGTATCACTTTATAACGTTTTTCCTACACAATATTGTAGAATACCATAGTATACATTTCTGTAGAGCACAATACTGTCCCGTACATTTTAATTTTATTCAGAAATATATTGTAATGTTGGGTAATACACCGTGCTGTACTTACAGTACTATACTATTTTTTTAATGTTGGACACAATACTGTACCTTTCAGTATAGTAGCATACTATACTATTTTGTAATATTACATAAAATTCTTTACCGTAGGCTATATAATACACTATACTATATTGCAACGTTCTGTCATATACCATACTATACCATGCTATAACAAGGGTAATCAGTGTGACACAAATTTCAAAAACCAAAAACGGAGACGATAAAAGTGGTGTCTGGGAAACGATGTCTGATTCATTTATCTAATTATACTCCACAGGGTAGTGTAAACATCCTGATCAGATGCGATAACGAAACAAATCAAATCACCCTAAATTTGAACGGACCCACTGTCGATCCATCGTCTATCAAGTTCTACCACGAGAGGTCTCCATTCTCTATGGACCCCAGTTATCACTCATTCGAGGAAGACAAAAAGAAACAGTTTTTTACAGTACTTCTTACAAAGAACATGGAGGTTCGTACACGATGGCATAGTTTAGTCTGTGAATGGAAGTACAAGATGTCCTAGTTTAGTCTGTGGATGGAAGTAGATGATGTCACAGTATATTCTTTTGATGGAAGTACATGATTTCATAGTTTAATCTGTGGATGAGATTACAAGATGTCATAACTTAGTCTGTGGATGGAAGTAGATGATGTCACAGTATATTCTTTTGATGGAAGCACATGATGTCATAGTTTAGACTGTGGATGGGAGTAGATGATGTCACAGTATATTCTTTTGATGGAAGTACACGATGGCATAGTTTAGTCTGTGGATGGAAGTAGATGATGTCACAGTATATTTTTTTGATGGAAGTACACGATGGCATAGTTTAGTCTGTGGGTGGAAGTAGATGTTGTCACAGTATATTCTTTTGATGGAAGTACCCGATGGCATAGTTTAGTCTGTGGATGAAAGTTATGATGTCATAGTTTAGTCTGTAGATGAGAGTACAAGATGTCATAGCTTAGTCTGTGGATGGAAGTAGATGATGTCAAAGTATATTTTTTTTGATGGAAGTACATGATGTCATAGCTTAGTCTCTGCATGACAGTAGATGATGTCATAGTTTGTTTGTGGATGGGAGTACATGATTTCATAGTTTAGTCTATGGATGGAAGTAGATGATGTCAAAGTATATACTTTTGATGGAAGTACATGATGTTAAAGTTTAGTCTGTGGATGACAGTATATAATGTCATAGTTTAGTCTGTGGATGAGAGTACATGATGTCATAGTTTAGTCTGTGGATGGAAGTAGATGATGTCAAAGTATATTCTTTTGATGGAAGTACATGATGTCATAGTTTAGTCTTTGGGTGACAGTAGATGATGTTATAGTTTAGTCTGTGGATGGGAGTACGTGATGTCATAGTTTAGTCTGTGGATGAGAGCACATGATGTCATAGTTTAGTCTGTGGATGAGAGTGCATGATGTCATTGTTTAATCTGTGGATGAGAGTACATGATGTCATGGTTTAGTCTATGGATGGAAGTACACGATGGCATAGTTTAGTCTGTGGATGGAAGTAGAAGATGTCACAGTATATTCTTTTGATGGAAGTACATGATGTCATAGTTTAGTCTTTGGATGACAATAGATGATGTCATAGTTTAGTCTGTGGATGGGAGTACGTGATGTCATAGTTTAGTCTGTGGATGAGAGCACATGATGTCATAGTTTAGTTGTGGATGAGAGTGCATGATGTCATTGTTTAGTCTGTGGATAGGAGTACATGATGTAATAGTTTAGTCTGTGTGTGGGAGTACATGATGTAATAGTTTAGTCTGGAGTGGGAGTACATGATGTAATAATTTAGTCTGGAGTGGGAGTACATAATGTAATCGTTAAGTCTGTGCGTGGGAGAACATAATGTAATCGTTAAGTCTGTGAGTGGGAGTACATAAAAACACAGTTTAGTCTGTGAGTGGGAGTACATGAAATCACAGTTGAGTGCTTGATACCCTACGTGTTAACATAAATTGATCAATGGCATTAAATTATAACACAAACTGAAAAGGGGGAACAAACAAACAAACCAAGGAAACGAACTTTATTTTCAAAGGCTTAGGAATTGGGCACGCAGGCCCGTCTAACATTCTGCCCTTCCTAAGAGGAACTCCACAGGGGATCATGACGGCAGGAGTCCACCGATCATCAGTAAAAACATCCCTCGTCGACGATTGTTTCGGCCCATTACATCCTATACCATCTCGGAGGGTGGGCCGACCTGTGTCATGACACCGGGCATCGATCTTCTCCTGCTGCACTTATTCGGACTCTCGGACAAGAGAAGAAAACAAACAGGACATAAACAAATGTTGCTTGCGTATACTCTACATGATGCTAGAAAACAAACCCCAGTATTTGCTTGCTTGCTTGTGTGTGTGTGTGTGCTTGCGTGCGTGCGCGTGTGTGTGTGGTTGCGTGCGTGCATGTGTGTGTGTGCGCGCGCGCGCGTGTGTGTGTGGGATGAGTGTGTGTGTGTGCTTGCGTGCGTGCGCGTGTGTGTGTGGTTGCGTGCGTGTGTGTGTGCGCGAGTGTGTGTGTGTGGGGGATGTGTGTGTGTGTGGGCGCGCGAGCCCGTGTGTGTGTGTGTGTATGTTTGTGTAAAATATTACTCAGCAAATTTACATTACGGTAGTTTGCCATTGCTTTAAATGGTCAGCTCTAGACACCACTGGCGAAATCACCGCTACAGCGGTCTAAAGCCAAATCGCTAACAGCTGGGCTTGAACTCAGATCATCAGATTTAAGAAGCTGGTTGGAAACACCAAAGCCACAGTCGCCGATGCAAAAGCTGAAGCAAGTGAGTTTACTTACTTCCCCTCGTGTGAGATTCCTACTCGGGGTCTGACTGGATACAGCTAAAGGCAGCAAACTTTCCAATTTCTTGTTTGTGTCTTCTCTGATCAACCAGACAACAGGAAAACATTATAAAATTCTGAAAGAGTGATAGTCGTTTAATGAATATTCTGAAAGATCACACTGTTGCATATATATAATAAATTTATAGTTGGAGATGTTCTACAGGTAGGTATGAAGTACTGGATTGAGATGCAGTTCTCATCTCCTTTAACAAATCTTTCGGAAGGCATGTACTACAGCAGCTACACAAGAAACAACAAGACTGTGTGAGTATCTGGTATCTTCTTTTAGGCATTTACTCTAAATATGAATAATCTCTACTGTCTTAAAAATCTTTTTTTTTTTAAATCACTTTGTAAAAATGGTGTACAAAAAGGGGATGGAAGAGGGAAACTGTACGTGAGTTCCAGGCATCAAAGCCAATGAGACGCCGCGTACTGTGCAGGTTAGGATTACAAAACATAACATAGGCAAAATATAAATAGGCCTATGACATCTTTAGCATTAGTTATCGCCAGACAGCAACACACATGGAGATCCAAAACATTTCATGTCGAACCCAAGCAAAGACTTCTCAGAGCACTAGTAAGTACTGCGTTTACATATTGATGTAAAATGTGGAGCTTAACAGCTGAACTCGGAGAGAAGATACAAGCACTGGAAATGAGATCTTTCCGACAAAAGCTTGGCATATCATTCAGAGACCACACCACATATGACTGGCTTACCACATTATTAACGAACATGTTGGCAGTTATAAATATTTTCTACCTACCTACCTACCTACCTACCTACCTACCTACCTACCTACCTACCTACCTACCTACCTACCTACCTACCTACCTACCTACCGAAAAGACGGCAACTGCATTCGTTTAGACATGTAAAAATTAAGAGCAAATGGCCACTCAAAACAAAACAACTGGGCTATTTGGACTGGAAAAGGAGAAGAGATAGACTCAGAAAGACTGGGACACAGAACTTGACTGTGAAATCTATTCCATCTGGTTGGCAAAGGTGCTGGGTATCTGACCAGACAGTCAACATAAACTGGTGACCCATCGACACGCATTGACATGGTACGATAAAGATAAACACACACTTGCTCATAGATTAAGCAACCTAGAATTATGTAAACAAAAAGATCCCTTGGTTAATTTGTTGGCTCTTATTGTAACACGAAACAAAGGAATTACATGTTTTTCTGAAAAGGATTCATTGCTCTTCTTCCTCTTCTTCTTCTTCTTCTTCTTCTTCTTCTTCTTCTTCTTCTTCTTCTTCTTCTTCTTCTTCTTCTTCTTCTTCTTCTTCTTCTTCTTCTTCTTCTTCTTCTTCTTCTTCTTCTTCTTCTTCTTCTTCTTCTTCTTCTTCTTCTTCTTCTTCTTCTTCTTCTTCTTCTTCTTCTTCTTCTTCTTCTTCTTCTTCTTCTTCTTCTTCTTCTTCCTCTTCTTCTTCTTCTTTTTCTTCTTCTTCTTCTTCTTCTTCTTCTTCTTCTTCTTCTTCTTCTTCTTCTTCTTCTTCTTCTTCTTCTTCTTCTTCTTCTTTAGCATTCCTATCTCTTGAGGTTCACTGCTGCAGATATCACCCGCCTTCACTCATCTCTCTGTTTGGCCGTCTCTTTCCAGCTGCTGACACCAAATGTATGTAGGTCTGTCTGGATATTATCTCTTCATCGTCTTCTTGGTCTGCCTTGTGGTCTACGACCATTCATCTCTTTTATGTATACAAATTTTACTTCTCTGTCATTTGACATTCTTTCATTATTTCCCAACCACTTCAGTCTATTAGCTCTAATGATGCCAGTGATCAATTGTGATGTAAACAGATTATGAATTTCGTTGTTGCTTCTGCCTCTCCATCCCCGGTATTTGCATATTTTTAGCGTCCAAAGATTCGTCGTAAAACTCTTTTTTCGAAAACCTGTAATAAGGCTTTATCTTTTTTAGTTGTGCTCCAAATTTCAGAGACATATAAAACAATAGGTTCTATCAACGTTTTATACATTTTAATCTTGGCGTTGCGAGACAGACACATTGACTTTAGCAGATGTTAAAGGACATAGTATACTATATTTCCAGATTGTATTCTTAATTGTATTTCTTCTCTGAGCATGTTGGAAAAGTTGAAGTTCGCACCCAAGTACTTACATGTTTCCGTTCATTTGATTTTAATATCATCTACTTGTATGTGGCCTGAGTTTATACCCTTTCCCTGTCTAGTTATTGTCATGTATACCTGTCTGATAATTAGTGCACTTTATGAAATGCTCATAAAACTATGCAGTCATTCACCGGACGAGATACTGGAATATCATCATCATCTAGTGGGTCCTTTGCAGAACCTGGCTCTCATCACGTCTGCCTAAAAGAAACTCAGTTTCTCACCAGCTCTCCCGCTGCGTGTACTTTCCTATCCATGGTGTCACCTATATCATGTTCCCCCATCTTCGTGCTGGTCGACCCCTGCCTGTCTTTCCTGGTACCATCATATCAACTGCATGTGTCTTTTCAATCCGCCTGGCGTTTGAGATGGTCAAAATATGTCAGTTGCCGAGAGAAGATCATCTTTACTAGCCAATCTACCTTGCTGTTCAGATCTTTCAGGATTTTATTTTTTTTTTTTAATTGGGGGGGGGGGGGGAATTCGGACTACGTGATAATAAATACCCATATGATCTTCGGGTTTGTCGTGTCCACACAGATGGGTCAGCACAAAACTCAAGCAGAAATGAACGAGGAAGCGTGTACATTGAGTATCCAAATAACATCAGTGATACTGCCGAAATACCAACCGGAAGCACATTTACTCCTATGATGCAGAAGTTCAGGCGATCAATACAGCAGGGTAGAAACTGCTAAATAACAAGTCATATTTCTCGTCTCGTGGTATTCCTGACAGATTCAAGAGCAGTACATCAAGCACTCCTTTCTGGAAAATTGCCAGGTTAATCTCTAAACAAGGCAACATGTGTAAGGTAACGATGTAATGTATATCATCTTATTGTGGAGTTTCCCGAAATAAGAGAGCTGATAAACCAGCTAAGGACAGTACAAATTAAGAACAGCCTGACATACGTCTCTTATAAAGAGAAGAAGAGATTAATCAAATCAATCAGAAATCCACCAAAACCGGTACAAGACGATAACTATGTTATGGACAGACCAGAGCAAGTCATTATTCTATGCCTTAGAACAGAGCACAATGAATTTCACAACCACATGTACAAAGAATTTAAGATTGAATTTAAGATTGACGAATCAGCCGAGTGCATGTATGGATCACGTCCTCCAAGACTGTCACTAATAAAACATATCAAGGCTTCTGGTCAAGAGAAACACTGATGGAAGCTGAACTTTACGGGTCACTGATATAACTACAAAAGAAAGCGACGTTCATATTAGAGACAACACTGCAGGTATACATAATGTAAGGAAAGAATGAAGAAGAAGTATTGCTGTAATTCTGTATCCTTGGTATTTTCAGAATCTTGCTATAGCATTTCAGCTCAAAAGCCCCGACTTTCTTCCTTAAAAATTTGGAGATATTCCACGACTCACATCCGTATGTTGCCACACGTAACATGCAGGCTCTTAAAGTGTTGTCTTTTGATTTCCTTACTGGTGCTTTGCCATAAACTTTTAATGGTGGGATATAAATTGTGTAACATTTTGTTTGTGGCCTAGCTATTTAAAATAAATTATTCCTTAGCAGGCAAAAAATGTATAAATGTATTCATCAATTCAAAATTTAAACAGAAAATGACTTTATTTTATTCTATCCAGCTACCTGGTCAGTACTCAATTTGAGCCTGCCTATGCCAGGAAAGTCTTTCCGTGTTTTGACGAGCCATGGATGAAGGCATCGTTTAAAGTGACCATTGTTCGAGCCAAAAACCTCGTTTCGCTGTCTAACATGCTTCTTGATTTCACTAAAGATGAGGTGTAAGTAACAAATCACTTTTTTATTGTTTGGTCATCTAGCTGGCAGAACTTGACAGTTTGCAAATAATTTTAGAACTTGATACATTAGTTTATGGTTTGCAGACCTTGATGACTGGCCATCTAGTAAATAGTTAATATAACTTGAACATTCATTATCACGGTGTTTAGAACTTGATGACTAAACATCTGATAAAGATATAATCAATGAGGATGAATTGATATTGTAAAAAGATTTTAAAATTTGATTAATCGTTCATTTAATTATATGGGTTTTAAACTGTACTGACTATAGAGCGAACAGATTTTTTAAAATCACGCATTCAAAATTTGATATACTGTTGCGAAATTCTCTGAATTCACCATATATTGAAGATGTTGATAGATTTGATTGTTGGTGGTTACCTGGTAAACTGGTTGTAGAATTTGACTTACTGTTCATGTAGCATAAGAGATGTGTCACATAATAACTGATAAACTGGTCTGCTGTAGGACTCAATGACTGAGAATGTAGTATATACATCGAAAAAAAAACAAAAAAAAACCTTATTGGTTATAGGGACTGGACTAGACATATCTAGATTACCTGTCAGTAAACCGCCCTTGAAGAGCAGTCACATAAATAATTTTTAGCACCTATTGCTGGGCGGTGTTTATCAAGGCTGGCATCCCAAATTGTGAAAATATTTTTCTGAGGAGAGTTTTTAGATAAAATAATAGTTTCATTTTAGGCTGAAGGCATGCAGCCTAAAAACTCAGTGTTGTCATCCCTCAGCACTGGCGATGGTTGGTAAAAAAAAAGAGAAAAGCTCCAAAATTAGAATTATGTGCCGTTTCCACAATGGTGGCTATGCCGCTTGGAAGACAATGAAAGGACAGACTGGCAACCGGTGGCAGTGACATGATGCAATCAAATGATGACGTAATCCACCGAGACATTTAGCCGTTGAAAAAACTATTATCCAAGAAAGATGGCTGGATACCCACACCAGATTTTCTTTCAGAGACTCACTTTATCGCTTTCCCTGAGAGAGACAGTATGTTATATTCAGAGTAAGGACAGGCCATAACAGACTTCGCCAATGTTCAAATGTTTTTGTGTAGGAAACACGGAAAACGTGTCACTTTATCTTGGCACCAGAAACTGCTCCAGCACTGTAACGGTATGCTGCAAACAGAGAAGTAGCCTGACCTGTTCCACTGCTGTGTGGTACATAAGGAGATATGAACTGCACGATAGCTTTAATAAAAGCTACCAAACTCTTGTGATAAATGTTATGACATAAGATTCAAAGACGAAGAAGATGCATCTACTGATGAATCCCAGGGGGAGGGGCAATCTATTTTATGATAAGACTCTCATTCCACTATTTGAAAGCCACGAGATTTGTGGTCATACGTTAAGCCACTGGCCGGGGGAACCCAACACCAGTCCATCGAGGATTAGGACACACTATCACTAACCTTTAAGCCACCAATAACTTCACTTTAGTCCGTTCCACAAATCCTGCTAAACTTTAGGAATCTGTAACTCAGTAACGGTTCGGTGTCAGTTGTTGAAATTTGACATGTAAACTGTTAATAATCAGCCAAACAAAGTCAACAGAAAATGGCAGCACCTGTGTAAATGTAAAATATCGAATCTTAAGGGCATGTGTAATCTAAGACATCGTTGTAAAAATTCATATTGATCCGTACAGTCGTTTTTGAGCTTTCTGTTAAAGTATAAGGGCACGACTTTCGAAATGCACCATACTACTTAGGTAATACAATTAACATACACTACAGCTAGACCTGACCTAAATTTGATACCTGTTGCTACCTTCAGAGAGGAGAACGGAATCATTTATGTGAAAGATGTTTACAAACAATCGCCCAAGATGTCAACCTACACTCTGGGATTTGTGGTTTGTGACTTTGCCAATCTTACGAAGACGACCAAGAGTGGTACAAGTGTAAGTATTGAATTGTGTCACTACCAGACAGACACAACTGAGACCAAGCTATTCTAGAAAGACTTTACTTTCACTTTTGAATTGTCAGGTCAGAGTGAGTTAAAATAATAGTACTCTGAGAGAGGCTGCCGTTGTAATGCAGAGTGAGTTTAAAAAATAATACTCTGAGAGAGGCAGCCGTTGTAATGCAGAGTGAGTTAAAATAATAGTACTCTGAGAGAGGCAGCCGTTGTAATGCAGAGTGAGTTAAAATAATAGTACTCTGAGAGAGGCAGCCGTTGTAATGTAGCTACTGGACTTTTGCCTGAGGATCGTAGGCTCAGGGCCTGAGGGGGTGGAACTTTTTTTTGTATGGCTTTGGCTCACAGGTCAACCAAGCCTTGGCTCACAGGTCAACCCAACCTTGGCTCACAGGTCAACCCAACCTTGGCCCACAGGTCCACCCAGCCTTTCCTCACAGCTCAACCCAGCCTTAGCTCACAGCTCAACCCAGCCTTAGCTCACAGCTCAACCCAACCTTAGCTCACAGCTTAACCCAGCATTCACTCACAGTTCAACCCACCCTTTCCTCGCAGCTCAACCCAGCCTTAGCTCACAGCTTAACCCAGCATTCACTCACAGTTCAACCCACCCTTTCCTCACAGCTCAACCCAGCCTTAGCTCACACCACAGCCCAACCCATCACAGCTCAACCCAGCCTTGGCTCACAGCTCAACACATCACAGCTCAACAAATCATAGCTCAACCCAGCCTTAGCTCACAGCTCAACACATTACAGCTCAACCCATCACAGTTCAACCCAGCCTTAGCTCACAGCTCAACCCATCACAGCTCAACCCATCACAGCTCAACCCCTCACAGCTCAACCCAGCCTTTGCTTACAGCTCAACCCATCACAGCTCAACCCATCACAGCTCAACCCATCACAGCTCAACCCATCACAGCTCAACCCATCACAGCTCAACCCATCACAGCTCAACCCATCACAGCTCAACCCACCACAGCTCAACCCATCACAGCTCAACCCATCACAGCTCAACCCATCACAGCTTAACCCATCACAGCTCAACCCATCACAGCTCAACCCATCACAGCTCAACCCATCACAGTCTAACCCATCACAGTCTAACCCATCACAGTCTAACCCATCACAGTTTAACCCATCACAGCTCAACCCATCACAGTCTAACCCATCACAGCTCAACCCATCACAGCTCAACCCATCATAGCTCAACCCATCACAGCTCAACCCATCACAGTCTAACCCATCACAGCTCAACCCATCACAGCTCAACCCATCACAGCTCAACCCATCACAGTCTAACCCATCACAGTCTAACCCATCACAGCTCAACCCATCACAGTCTAACCCATCACAGCTCAACCCATCACAGCTCAACCCACCACAGCTCAACCCATCACAGTCTAACCCATCACAGCTCAACCCATCACAGCTCAACCCACCACAGCTCAACCCATCACAGCTCAACCCATCACAGCTCAACCCACCACAGCTCAACCCATCACAGTCTAACCCATAACAGCTCAACCCATCACAGCTCAACCCATCACAGTCTAACCCATCACAGCTCAACCCACCACAGCTCAACCCATCACAGCTCAACCCATCACAGCTCTACCCATCACAGCTCAACCCATCACAGCTCAACCCATCACAGCTCAACCCATCACAGTCTAACCCATCACAGTCTAACCAATCACAGTCTAACCCATCACAGTCAAACCCATCACAGTCTAACCCATCACAGTCTAACCCATCACAGCTCAACCCATCACAGCTCAACCCATCACAGCTCAACCCATCACAGCTCAACATATCACAGCCCAACCCATCACAGCTCAACCCATCACAGCTCAACCCATCACAGCCCAACCCATCACAGCTCAACGCATCACAGCCCAACCCAGCCTCACCTCTCAGGTAAACCAGCCAAAATATGGGTACAAGTTAAAGTCCTGGAAAGTAAAGGCGGCTGGCGGGATGTTGACCACATCTCTTATTGAGTGCCGATGGTCTATGCAATTTAGTTAGCACTATATGTTCCATACGTCCGAAAGCGTGGGAAACAGCCCCTAACTTTCCACTTTGAGATAGAAGGTTTTCATCTAACAACTTGTTCAGAGTGGTTGGGGTTAGAATATTAATTGATTAACCTTGACGAGATCATAAACAATTGTTGAATGTAAGTAGAATTCAAAGTATAATTCATGGTAGAATTCAAAGTATAATTCATGGTAGACTTCAAGGTACAGTTTAACAGCCTCGTGGTGTGTTGCTTAGAACTGAATGGTGTAATTACTAATTCTGTTTAGCTTATGGTGTTTTGTACAAACCTGTCTCCAATGCAGTGAAGCACTGAGCGTCTGGTGTTGAAAACATAATGTAGTCAAATTAGCCACACTTCACTGGTCATGTGACTTACATCAATCGGGTGGTCCTCACTTTTTATGACATTTCATGGTCTCAGATTTAGGCATTAGGTCTTTTTTTTTTTTTTTTTTAATATATAAATTCAAAATAACTTTTATCTGGCCCTAAATCAAAATCTTCGACCTCTCGCCCACATTGCGAGAATCATACTCCTAGACCAACTCACCGTATGAGTATGTACTCATTTAACCGCAGCCTTTGTAAACTCATGCTTACTAGTGAATATATGCCACCATAGATGTAGTTAATAATTCACATGCCTTATCGTCTTACTTATATGTAGTATGTAGGTGTGTATGTGTGTGTGATTGTTAGTGTGTGTGTATGTATTTTTAGGTTTGTAAGTATGTGTGTGTTTTTAATTATGTATGTATATGGGTGTATATATGTGGGTGTATGTGTGATTGTGTATGTGTGTTTGTAGGTGTGTGTGTATTATGTATGCAAGTATGCATGTATGCAAGCATATATATGTGAATGCATGTATATATATGGGTGTCTGTATGTGTGATTGTATATGTGTGTAAGCATGCATATGTGTGTATGTATGTTATGTTGTGTATGTATGCATGTATGTATGCATGTTGGTGCATGCATGTGTGCATATGTAGCTGTGTAAGTATGTGTGTGTATTTAAGTATGTGAATGTATGTATGTGTATGTATGCATGTATCTGTGTGTGCATGTATGTCTATGTACGTAGGTGTGTGAGTTTTATGTTTGTGTATGTATGTATGTATGTATGTATGTATGTATGTATGTATGTATGTATGTATGTATGTATGTATGTATGTATGTATGTATGTATGTATGTATGTATGTATGTATGTATGTATGTATGTATGTATGTATGTATGTATGTATGTATGTATGTATGTATGTATGTATGTATGTATGTATGTATGTATGTATGTATGTATGTATGTATGTATGTATGTATGTATGTATGTATGTATGTATGTATGTATGTATGTATGTATGTATGTATGTATGTATGTATGTATGTATGTATGTATGTATGTGTGTGTGTGTGTGTGTATGTATGTATGTATGTATGTATGTATGTGTGTGTGTGTGTATGTATGTATGTATGTATGTATGTATGTATGTATGTATGTATGTATGTATGTATGTATGTATGTATGTATGTATGTATGTATGTATGTATGTATGTATGTATGTATGTATGTATGTATGTATGTATGTATGTATGTATGTATGTATGTATGTATGTATGTATGTATGTATGTATGTATGTATGTATGTATGTATGTATGTATGTATGTATGTATGTATGTATGTATGTATGTATGTATGTATGTATGTATGTATGTATGTATGTATGTATGTATGTATGTATGTATGTATGTATGTATGTATGTATGTATGTATGTATGTATGTATGTATGTATGTATGTATGTATGTATGTATGTATGTATGTATGTATGTATGTATGTATGTATGTATGTATGCATGCATGCATGTATCTGTGTGTGCATGTATGTCTATGTACGTAGGTGTGTGAGTTTTATGTTTGTGTATGCATGCATGCATGCATTCATGCATGTGTGTGTGTATGTATGTATGTATGTATGTATGTATGTATGTATGTATGTATGTATGTATGTATGTATGTATGTATGTATGTATGTATGTATGTATGTATGTATGTATGTATGTATGTATGTATGTATTTATGTATGTATGTATGTATGTATGTATGTATGTATGTATGTATGTATGTATGTATGTATGTATGTATGTATGTATGTATGTATGTATGTATGTATGTATGTATGTATGTATGTATGTATGTATGTATGTATGTATGTATGTATGTACGAATGTATGTTGTATTATGTATGCATGTAGATGTAGCGTATGTATGCATGTATACATGTGAATGTATGTATGTGTTGCTTTTATGTATGTAGGTGTATGTATGTATGTTTATATGTATGCAAATGTCTGTATGTAAATGTAGCTGTGTAAGTATGTGGGTGTATGTGTATTTGTGTATCTATGTAAATATGTTTGAATGTATATGTAGCTGTGTAGGTATTTGTTGTGTGTGTATATTTATAAATGTATGCATGTGTGTGAGTAGAAGAAACAAATAAATATAAAACAATGTTTTAAATAAGACACCTTGAAAAATAAATATAAAACAATGCTTTAAATAATTTACCCTAAAGAAACAAAAAATATAGTACAATATTTCAAATAAGACGAACTGAAGAAACAAATAAATATAAAACAATGTTTTCAATAAGACACCCTAAAGAAACAAAAAAATATCCAACAATGTTTTAAAAAAGACACACTGAAGAAACAAATAAATATAAAACAATGTTTTAAAAAAAGCACCTTGAAAAACAAAAATATATAAAACAATATTTTAAATAAGACGAACTGAAGAAACAAAAAAAAATATAAAGCAATGTGTTAAATAAGATACCTTGAAGAAAGAAAAAAAATATAATACAATATTTTAAATAAGACACCTTGAAGAAACCAATAAATATAAAGCAATATTCTAAACTAGACACACTGAAGAAACAAATAAATATAAAACATTGTTTGAAATAAGACACCTTGAAGAAACAACTAAATATAAATCATTGCTTTAAATAAGACACTTTAAAAAACAAAAAAATATATAACATTGTTTTAATTAGGACACCTTGAAGAAACAATAAAATATAAAACATTGTTTTAAATAAGACACACTGAAGAAACAATAAAATATAAAACATTGTTTTAAATAGGACACACTGAAGAAACAAATAAATATAAAACATTGTTTAGAATAAGACACACTGAAGAAAAAAAACAAAAATATAAAACATTGTTTTAAATAAGACACCTTAAAGAAACAACTAAATATAAAACATTGTTTTAAATAAGTCACACTGAAGAAACAAATAAATATAAAACAATGTTTTTAAAAAGACACACTGAAAAAAACAAATAAATATAAAACAATGTTTTAAATAAGACACACTGAAGATACAAAAAAATATAAAACTATGTTTTAAATAAGTCAAACTGAAGAAACAGAAAAATATAAAACAATGTTTTAAATAATATGCCCTGGTGAAACAAAAAAATTTTAAACAATATTTTAAATAAGACGAACTGAAGAAACAAATAAATATAAAACAATGTTTTAAATAATATACCCTGAAGAAACAAAAAAAATATAAAACATTGTTTTAAATAAGACACACTGAAGAAACAAATAAATTTAAAACAATATTTTAAATAAGACACATTTAAGAAACAAATAAATATAAAACAATGTTTAAAATAATATACCCTGAAGAAACAAAAAAATATAATACAATATTTTAAATAAGACACCATGAAGAAACAAAAAAATATAAAACAATGTTTTAAATAAGAAACACTGAAGAAACAAAAAAATATAAAACAATGTTTTAAATAAGACACCTTAAAAAACAAAAAAATATAAAACAATGTTTTAAATAAGACACCGTGAAGAAACAAAAAAATATAAAACAATGTTTTAAATAAAACACCATGAAGAAACAAAAAAATATAAAACATTGTTTTAAATAAGACACCTTGAAGAAACAAAAAAATATAAAACAATGTTTTAAATAAGACACCTTGAAGAAACAAAAAAATATAAAACAATGTTTTAAATAAGACACCGTGAAGAAACAAAAAAAAATGTATTACAATGTTTTAAATATTTAATGAAAATAGATTCATATTTCAGGCAAGTAAGCATGACCTATCTGCCAGAGGTTGAAGTTAAAAAAACAACATTTTAATGTATGTTACTAACAGTTGAGAGTCTGGAGTAAAAATGAATCTATGGGAGATATCACATATGCTCTAGATGGTTTAGTGACTATCAACGAATACTTTGAAGAAATCTTTGGCATCAAATACCCACTACAAAAGCAAGGTAAGAAATTGAGGTATTCATATGTGGTAGTTAACTTCAGAACACTGTTGATAGTTCAGCCATGCGTACCCTTGTTTTTTCCATGTTCATTTTAGGTCATTAATAATATTTTAACCATTCTTAAAAACTTTGGGCTATGTTAATTGCAGGTCACTGATGGTAGTTAAACCATTCGTACCAACTTTGGGCTATGTTAACTTCAGGTCACTAATGGTATTTCAGCCATACGTACCAGTTTTGTGCTATGTTAACTTCAGGTCACTAATGGTATTTTAGCTATTCGTACCAGCTTTGTGTTATGTTAACTTCATGTCCTAAATCCATTCTCTTTTGCTTGATAGTCTAAGGACTGGGGTCAATTTTTTTTTTTTTTAAATACAAGTAAAAAAGAAAAAACAACTTACCGGATAAATAATCTAATATAAACTTTTGAATTATTAGGTGTTATTATACTTTTTAGGAAAATGAGATTTAAACTTTGGTTATTCAAATAAGTTTGTGATCCTAGTGTCGGTTTTGGTGCCCCATTGGTTTGGGGGGGGGGGGGGGGGGGAAG